GTCATGTTCACTCATAATTTTCCGCAGCTTTGGAAATTAAGCCTTTTGAAGCACCAAGTACATACATTACTGGTTGGGACTGTCCTCTGTTTACCCAAATTGAATGTACTCAAATCACAATCACTGGTCTCTAAGCAACAACTTGCTTCCAGTCCAGTGATTAATTCATCTTTATCCAACATAGTAAGGTCCAAAATCATTACCTTGTGCTGGATACCTTTTGTGTTAGAAAATTATCATCTATAACTTAGAAACTTTAAGGACATTTTACTATCGGGTACATTGAAGCTAGGCAATGGTTATATTATTTTGTTTTTTTTTTAGCAATGCAAATTAGGATACTGTGTATGAATAAATGTGCAATTCACCTCTGGAGATCTAAAGAACATCTGAAAAATCTTTGCCAAAGTTTAATTCAGCCTGAATTTTAGTGAAAAACATCAGCCAGTAGGGGATTTATCAGTTAAGTATTTGGATACTGTTCCTGCCTCCTTACTACCACAGTTCTAATAGTCTGTACCAGACATAGCTTGTTTTTATTTTTTTGGAAAGGTGGCAACTCTTATGGAATTAAAGGGAAAAGTTTAGGTCTTAGAACTGGGAATTCACATGTAGGGAAGAATGGGATCAGTGGCCTGAAAGGAACTACAGTAATGAGGTCAGACACAATTCACTCAGCAAGGGCCTTAAAATAGCCCTAATGGCTGGGCAGAGTATGCCGTGGCTTTTTTTAGGCTGCTGTCCCCTGAACATATTGGCATTTATCTCACTCCACTACAACTTCATGCAGTAGTGGCTTCATCTTTCCAGAAAATCACAAAGTGGAATCACTCCCCAATGCCATGCAATCTACACTCATTTAAATGGAAGAATTCTTCATTTTGGATCAGTGTTAAAGGCATTTAAAAAAATCTCCCTATTATGAGGAAAGCTTTTGCTCTGAGCATGTGTGCATCCTGGAGACACTGAACATCTCCCTCTGAAGTTTTTTGAAATCTCCTTGATGCACACTGTCACAGTTCGGGATAATGCCCTAATTGCCATATTCCCAATTTTCCACCCTTTTGTGCCTGCTATTTATACCCACAAAGTCTGATTCTTCTCACTTCACATATCACTCCATTGATTTAAATGGAGTTACTCTGGCGTTACCTTGGTGCAATTCTCAGCAGATCTGACCCTGTAGTAACTCAACCCGCCCAGGCCTATATTTTCCTTCCTTCCTTCCTACAAACACCATCAAACTTAATCGCTTTCATTTAGGGAGCTCCACTCGTTTTGCAATATTATTTAGGTGGCTAAAGAACCACACACAAAACACAACCCACAAACAAACAACACAACCCGTGTTTTCCCCAGGAATTGAAATTGGGGGGGGTGTTTGAATTTATGGGGAGCGGGGGTCAGGACCGATGAGGGGTGAGACCATGAGGGTGAAGGTGGGCTGTGTGGCACAATAGTTAAATCTAATAAAATGGTCATGAAACATTTTTCAGTTTTTACATCATCACACAAATTAAAGTTGGGTACTCAAGCCCTTCTATGAAGCACTACATCTACATCCTTCTTGGTTTCTTGTTATAATTTTGCACAACTCTGTTAATGAACTTCTTGAATGCAATGTGTTCATCTTTGGTGGCTTCTCATGTATCCGGTACTTCCATTCCTTCAATTGATATGCTCATTATTCAATTATAATTATTCAATATTCAATTGATATTCACATGATCAGGCAGAAAGCGACGTCTTTCAAAAGACAAAATTCTATTCAATGACGAAAAAGAACAGTCAACTGTAGTTGTTGTGACTGCAAGTAGCACGAGATGAATTTCTACTTTCATCACAGGAAACATAGCACAAAGATCAGGTCGAGCCACTAGTGACGATAAAAAAGAAGTTGAAGTCAAATCTTCATTCATTTGTCATATCACATTCCACTCTGTGTTCAAATTCTCTATTCTGTCCTGAGCACATGGCAGCCCCATTGTTGGTAGTGCCTCACTCCACTCAACTGTCGGTGTTTTATAGGACAGGGATCTGTAAAAGCTACACAGAGGTTGAGTAGAATCTAGAAGTCACCGTTGTAGATTTTTAAGAATCAAGTCTGTGTACTTTTTCAGTTGTCTTAACAAACACTTCTTGTCCTCTTCACTTAAGGATTCAATACAAATGCCTTCATTAGTCAACTTCTGGACTGAAGTCTTTGCTTCTTCCAGTACTTTTTCAATGGATAGCCCCCTAATTGATCCAAATGTAGCTTCTATTGCTGGACAAAGATCTACTACTGTTGTAGCAGATGCCTGGATGGCATTGTTTAATGACCCAAGTGGTTTCAACAGTAGACTTACAAGAAAGAGAATGGCAATAGTCTTCTCTGAACATAGTAGCAAGAGTAATCCACCAGCCTCACTACTTAAAGCTAGTAATAACGGCTGGAGTAATTTTAAGACAACAGCCAAGGATCACTCATGAGAAAGCCAGAGGGTTTTCCTAGGTTGGACTAATTTGAACTTCAGTCCCAGTGTATCTTCTATATTTTCCAAGATATTCAGTCTTTTTGGACTCTTGCTGAAAAAAGAATATAATGAAGACATTAAATTTATAGCTTTTAAAATGTCTTTTGAAGAGTCTGCAGCTCGTACTAGAGCTAGTTGGAGTAGACGGCCTCTGCAGAGTGTATAGGAGAGATCAGGGTTACACTTTTCTCTGAGCAAATCTTGAACTCCATGATGTCTTCCAGAGAAATTTGCAGCTCCATCAAATACACAAGCAGCCATCTGTTTGGGGTCCAATTGACAAGCATTTAACTCTTCTAAGATGTGGGTTGTCACAGATGCAGCTGATGTGTCTTCTATAACTTGAACATCTAGAAATGCATCTACTGGCCTACCACTGACATCAAGATAATGTACACAATGACTTAATACTTGAATGCACCAGTGCAAATGGGCATCATCAGCCCATGTATGCAAATTTTCTGAATGCAGTGAGAGAGTTCCTCACTTTTTAAATTGTTAAGTCTTTCACTGTTGCACCACATGCGTCTGGCCAGTCAGTTGAGTTTCTTGCAGAAAGATAGTGAGCATTTGCTGGTCTTGTTCAGAACCAGTGTTCAACTTCAGGATGAACAAGTGACAATGCACTTAACATTGGCCTCCAGTTTGTAGTGTGTGGTATCTCTTGCTTAAATAGAAAGTGTGATGCCACAGCCATGTTTGTTCGCATGAACTGTGTTGTGTCTCCAGCATTCTTAACAGCCTCATTAACACTCACCGGTGTTGTCCTTGGACAGTGGAGACTCAGAGTTCAGAGGTGCTTTGACATGAGTTCACCCCCCAGTTAGGGGGCAAGAAGGCACCTTGCTCATTCCTCCAGCTGCTCCCTGTTCGCTCTGGCCGCTGTTTTCATTGTGCCACCGTTCACTCCATCGCTCTGTTGTCAATGGCCCTGCGCCATCACCCTCTGCTGCTACCTGCCACTGTGACCTCTGCGAGTTGGTGTCTTGAGGTTCCACCCAGCTCTCAGTGATTTCAGCTGAGCTCTTAGTAGGGGAACCTTGCTGATAGTGCAGACTGGGCCATCTCTTCCACAGAAACACTGTCCCACAGCAGGTCTAAGCACTTAGACCTGATTGTCAGTGATTTCAGCTGTAGTGGTCACTTAACAAAACAAAAGACTATCTATGGAGCCTAATCAGCTTTGTCTTTAAACACTGGGGAAGGGCAGGTCAAATAGTACTCCTGACACAGGCAGACCATCAAGCAAAACACCTGTCCCCACCCTCTCTCTTGATGCCCTCAATCAGCACAGGCTAAGTACAGTTTTACTGCCCTTTACTCCTACAATAAGCATAACAACATTTCACCCCTCCCCCCCAAGTGATTTGTAACCCAACCCCAGCCAAAATCTATCACTTGGGCAACACAGCACTGTTCCCTGGATACCTAGGTAGATTAGGTGTGAATTAAATATAATCTGGTCTTGAAGCCTTTCCCCCCACCCCATCACTATCTGTCAGGGAGAGCTCTTTTAGACTTTGTTTACAAATTATAATTTGAAATTATCAGGTTGGCCAACATTGCCGAAATGAACACACTGACATTGTAATAAAAACAACAGTATAAGAAAGCTTGTCTATGTTCCTGCTTTTCACATCTATTATACTTCTTCAGGTACATGCATTTTATCATACAACTTATATGCTTTTAACGTGTGTATTAATGTTTCAACTTCAATTAAAATTTCCAATCAGTAAATTGGCAACACTGCATGTAACTAGTTCACAAAACTGGGGGGCGGGGAAGGTGTGGGGGAAATTCAGGGGGGCTGTTGGGAAATCCCTGGTGTAACACAACCCAAATATACAAAACACAAAGTCTCCTCCCACCCTGCTTTAGGTGGAAGGATTTTGCAGCACGCCTTTCCCTGAGGCCGTTAAAATCTCCCAGACAAGGAGGCAGCTCCCCTCCCCGAGGATTAATTGAAAGACAAGCGCTCTCTTCCCCAGGCAGGCTTTTGCGGGGTGTGTTTCCAGTGAGTAAACTCCAATCTCGCTCCGTTTGTTTTCCAACCTCCCTTATTCAAATTGTTCCTCCCCCCTCTCCGCACCATGTGCCGCTCATCAGTAACTGAGAGGCAAAACCGAGGACTGGGCCTGGAAACAACCTTCCCGTTGCGCGTGAGAGGGACCCCACCACTGCCCGGGGAATTCAATCAAAGCGTGTGTCTGTGCGTGTTTGCGGGGGGGGTGTGAACAGCTCTGCGCTTCCAACACCTCCCGTGCCGCAGCCCCAGGGCCGGTCACACCACGCCCACGCGGGGATTTATTGCCCTAGGGGACTGGGGCCCGCTACGTGCCCTGCGTCCCCTCGCGGCGCCAGCAGCTCCCCGCGTCGGCAGGGAGCCAGCAGCGCCCAAGTTATTAATGAAGGGGCCGGGCGGCGGGGCGGGTGAGGAGCGGCGGCGGCAGCAGCTGCTGCTGGAGGGGCAGGTCAGGGCTGCGGAGGCTGCGCGACGGGAGACGCTCGCCTCGCCGCCTTCCACCTGCGGCCATTTGCCTAGGGCGGGCTCCGGCGCAGGGCGAGGGACACCCGAGCAGCCGCCGCCGCCGCCGGGACAGCGCTTGGGTCGCGCTCTGCACGGGGCGCGTCCATGAACAGCAGCGCCGGCTCCGGAGGCGAGATGGAGGGTAAAGGCGACCTTGGGCAGCGCCTGAGTTCTGGCTCTTCCCTTTGGCGGGAGCAGGGCCGGCTTCTGCCTCTCCGCGGGGAGGGGGGGGTCGTGGCTGGGGATCCGCTCGCTGGCCACCCCTCGCCCCTTTCAGACCCGTCCTCAGCTCGGTCGAGCTGGGGTTCCCCAGGTGGCGGGAAACCTGGGGGTTGGGCTGCCTCCGGGGAGGGGGTGTAGCTGCTGGGGGCGGGCTTTTGCCACGCGTCCCCTCTGCACCGGGGAAGGCTTCTTGGGCTGGGGGGGACTTGCCCCCGTTCTCAGCACAGTGGCTTCTTTAGCCTGCCCTGAGTGCGAGGGTTGCCAAGGGCCAGGGCTCAAGCAATTTTTTTGCATTCATAACTGATGCGGCAAGCGCAGGGGTGCTGGGGCGATGCAGTGCTAAGGCTACAGGTGCCGGGGCTCAGGGTGACACCTAACTGTGGAGAGTTGCTGGGGGGGGATAATTGAAAGTTTCTCCGGGGGCATGCGACCGCCCCACTTGTTGTCTCTGTCTCCACTCCCTGAAACTTAATATATAGGTAGACAACAGACACTAACAACTATCACCTCCTGTTCTCTGGCTGCCCAGCCCCTGGCAGAGCTTGCGGGCATCACTCCCTGATGGAACTAGCCTCAGTCAATTAGCAAGTGTTCAAAACAAGACAAACAAAAGGGGCAACACAGCTGGGATGCACAGTCCTTCCTGTGCCAGCAGGGTGGGCATAGGCAGCGACTGCATGGGTGCTCTGGGGCTGGAGCACCCACAGGGAAAAATTAGTGGGTGCTCCGCACCCACTGGCAGCGAAGCTCCCCCCCCACCTCCTCCCTTCAGTGTGCCACATTCCTGCTCCTCTCCCTCCCAGCACTTCTGCCCACTGCCTTGGCGGCGCTCCAGGAGGGAGGGGGAGGGACAGGGACACCATGCACTCAAGGGAGGACGTGGGGCTGGGACTTGAGGAAAGGGGTGGAATTGGGACAGGGTGGAGGCGGAGCAGGGATAGGAAGAGGCAGGGAGGGAGTGGAGACTTGGGGGAAGGGGTGGAGTGGGGGTGGGGCTGGGGCTGGGGCTGGGGGGGGGTCGAGCACCCACTGGCGGGAGCAGAAGTTGGCACCTATGAGGGTGGGTGGCACCATGGTGTGATGGAGCTCAGGGTTTGAGCGTCTCGGTTAGCAAGACACTTTTTATTGGAGGGGGGAATATGATGCCCCCACAACACTTTCTTGATAGGCACATTGGAGGCTGCAGGGTCCTTGTCTCCCTTTTCCCACTCTTTCTCCCCCCCCCCCCCCCCTCCAGCCTGCTCCCTGGGGCTCTCTGGCTGGATGGGGTTCCAGCGGAGCTACCTGGTGCTAAGCACTATGTAGCAGGCCCTCTTCCCGATCTAGAAGATGCTCCCCTGACTCACCTCAGTGGATGGTCTGCAAAGCAGGCAGCGGGAAGCACTGGGACTCCAGCAGCAGGGAAGGAGAAGCAGCACCAAGTAGCAGCGGGGAGCTCAGCCCACAGCCAGCTGCCCTGCTGCTTCCTCCCTCCCTCCCTCCCTGTGCTGTACAGACACATGGTGAGTGCTGCCACCAGGGGGAGCCACTACCTCCTCACTGCTGGGTGTCCCAGAAATCGGGTGGGGGGAGGGGAAAGGAGGGAGGGGGAAAGAGAGACAGACAGACATACATGTGACCCTGTGTGTTCCACACCACACATTGCCTCTGATTTAATCTTTAATTAAAGATTGTCACGTGATGAAACCTCCACGAATATGTCCACCAAAATTGGCAACTCTACTGAGTGCACCTTTCCCTGCCTACCTACACTGAAATATCATCTGCCTTTGGAGCTGGGGGGCAGTGCCTGGAATGAAGGCATCTTTGGGATGTCACGGGTGGGGGTTGGGGGGAAGCTGGGAGCGTTCTGAGGAATTTCCTTGTGATAATGGTGTGAAAGGTGGTTTGCTGTTCTCCTTGATGTATTCCTCCTATAGAAGGAACTTTCACATCAATTTATGGAGCCCATCAAAATGAATGGGTGTTGGATATAAATAACCTCCCTTTATAAAAGTGCTCCAGTAATCTATGAAAAACCCTTTAAAATGTTAGTGTTTTGAACAAGCACTATAGAATATTGTAATTCAGTATTTTTGTTAAAATAAGTGCTCTTTAAAGAATAATACTTAGCCCCTCCAACCACCCCTTGCTCTGGACATAAGTATGCGCAGAAACATAATGATGCTCTTTGAAGCAAGTATCTTAGGAAAAGAAAAATAAACCTATTTTATAAATGCATTAGTTATTACACCTGAAAGTTATTACAGTAGTACACTGAGCTATATTAAAAGGAAGAAAGCTGTTAAATGAACAGGTAATGGACAAAAAAAGCTTAAAACATAAGTTCATAGAAGTTAGGAATGAGAGACCTATTTTTCATATAATTTTGGTACCTTTAATGAGGTTTGACAGGATAACTCTCAAGAGCATATACTTTGGTGCATTTATACATTTAGCTTACTGCTATACCATTAACTTGCAAAAATTTAGAAATGTGCAACTTACTGGTTTCTTGAGTGGAAAAAACTATTCATCCTCATCCTCTCCTTTCCCCAGTGCTGAGGTTGGATAGGGCCAAGGTTATGAGCAGAGTCCATCAACATCTGTTTTGAACCACCATTTGAGCCTGATTGTTCTGAAAATCAGGTGCTGCCTGGATGGTTTTGAATACCATGTTATACCACTGTCTCATTGACGCCTAGCAACATGGCCAAACCATTGTAGTTGCTGCCTTTTGATGATTGTAATCATGTTCTGTACTTTCAGTCTTCTATAGATGGTTAGAATGCCTAAGGGCAGGTCTTCGCTACCTGCTGGATCAGCGGGTAGTGATCGATCTATTGGGGATCGATTTATCGCGTCTCATCTAGACACGATAAATCGATCCCTGAATGCGCTCCCCATCAACTCCGGAACTCCAGCAAGCAAGAGGCGGAAGCGAAGTTGACAGAGGAGCGGCAGTGGTTGACTTGCCGCTGTCCTCACGGCCAGGTAAGTCGACCTAAGATACGCCGACTTCAGCTACGCTATTCACGTAGCAGAAGTTGTGCATCTTAGGTGGACCCCTCCCCAGTGTAGACCAGGGCTAAGAAATGCTATGTCACATCTATGATATAGTGCAGACACCTCATTTCAAATGTTTATAGCTTTTGCTCCAGATGCTTTTGTCAGTACTCATGTTTCACAACCATTAAGTAATGTGGGTACAATGACCATTGTGTATAATCTGGTTTTATCTGTCGTAGACACTGATTTAAGGTTTGAAACTTTTTTAATAAGGCACATGAACGTTCTGCTGACAGTAGCTATCTGCTTGTTCTTGTCAACTTCATAGCGATTGTCCCATGTTATGATGGAACCCATGTAGCAGAAGCTATCTACTTGTTTGATGTCTACAACATTAATGACTAGGCTAGTCTGTTTCTTGGGTTTTTTTTTTTTTTTTACATTACCATTAGTTTGGTCTTTTGTTCATTCATTTTTAATCCCCATTGGCCCTGATTCTATTCTATTCTGTTCTATTCAATAAGCTATGTTTGCAAGAAATCAGATAGTGTAGAATAAAGTTGTTGTACACAAGTATGTTTATACTTCATTAAAAAATAATGGGGGAAACTGTTGCTAGTCTGGAAATTTAAAAAAAGGTACTTCCTATAAACGCAAGAAGAATATTCTAGATCAGTGCAATTTTTTCCATACCATGACCCTGTTACAACAGAAAAAAGGTTTTGGAGCCCCCTTCCTTCCAGTCATAAAGTAAGGGTTGCTGAGACCCCTGAAACCTGGTTGCAACCCACAGGTTGAGAGTTTGTGTCCTAGATTCTTCCCACCTCCCAGGATCTCAACTTTTTTACATTGTTTTGGGGTTTAAATCTTGAGCATTTTATTTGTGGGGGAAAAATTGTAAATCAGCAAAAATAACAATAAAATATACTTTTAAATGAAAGCTCTGGATTCTTATTATTTAAGAACCATGATTTTTTTTTTTGTTTAGATTCCCATAAGTCAAACGAATGTCATAAAGCTACATGACATTTCTGGTATGTTGTGAAATATGCCGTAGTGTACACTGTAATTCCAGACATCCTACTGTGTGAGAGATACCCACATGGGACTGAGCATCCTTGAAAATTACTGATCTCAAACAAATTTTTAATTTTCTCTACCGACACAAAACTCAAAAAAAACTTTTAGTGACCACTAATTTAAGTGTCAGACTCACTCAAATGCACAGCTAGCGGGCCTTGTGCTCCCTTCTGCTGTGCAATGGTGTTTGGTGTTTATAAAAATTTAAATAAGGGGCTCCCTCTAAAATGATGGGCCTAGTCAACCGTGCACATGACATTCCTTGTGTAAGATACTTCTGTGCTCTCTCCCCACCTCTCTCCTCAAAAAATATCTGCGACTTTCATATTTTTTCCCTATACCCAAGAATCATTCCATCTTCCATCCCTCCACCATCTTGCATAGTACTTTTTGACCAGCTATGTGTCCCTCTGCCCATTACTTCACTGAAGGTCCTCTAAGTTGTTTCTCTATCTGGCAGGTGTTCTTCACAGCAGCAGTGGTGGTGATAGGTGGGTGGCTCTGTGACTTCCACTCGTGGCTGTGGTTTGCAGGCATGTTGTCCTGCCGACTTAGGTAGTTGGGGTAGGTCAGGTGGGCAGTGCGTCCCCTCAGTGATGGGCTGGGTAGTCAGTTGGAGAATGGGTCCTCTTCAGTTCTTGAGGTGGGCAGATCTCCCCTGACTGCTGGAGGTCTCCTGTAGTATGTGTGAGTTTTGAGAGCTGATCTTTGGGCTGATGCATGGGTAGTTCTCCTCTGGCTGGTGGGAAATGGCTCCATGTTCCTTTCCAGTACCAGCTCTTAATACTCCTAGTAGGGCAAGTGCAGGCACCAGTGGGAGGAGAAGTGGGGTGCAGTGACTACAGCACTCCC